GAAACATAGGAAAAAAACAACTCCCCCCAGCTAATCTCCCCCCCCCCCCCCCCCGCTTTCGATAAAGAAAATCAGGGCAAAATTATTTTAAACCAAAAGTAGAAGCAAAATCCTTATCTTTCCTGCATGAAGGGAAAAAAAAGTTGTTTAAATTTTTGCAGCTTTTCAAGCAATTGTTTTTTGGTTAATAGATCCTTGACATTAGTAGCCCAAAGTAATGTTTAAACATTTGCTGTAAAGAATAAATTGGATCCAGGGGTAAATTTGAATGAAACACAGGTGGACAATTTGATCTCCAAAGTGAAATGTAGAAAAGAGGAATTCTTTTGTCTTTGTCAGAGAAAACAAGTGATCTCCTTCCCTCATGCAAATAGTTCTTCATTGTTTCATTTGTAATAAACCCCTTTGTCTTCTAAAGATTTCTCTGTGTCACCAAAATCAAATCATCACCAAATTCAGATTGAAATCTTCATCTCTGAGAGTACAAGACCCTTATGACTGTAAGAGAGATATGTATCTCTTCAGTTTCAAAATCTTATCTCAGGGAAGAAAGAGTTCAGTTGCCCCTAAATAGATCTGGCCTTGCTACACAATCCATAAAGACCACAGGCAAAAAACGTTGTTTAAAAGTGCAAAACAAATTTAATTAGGAGGTAAGTCCTTCTGGAATTACTGGACCTTAAACCCTTAAGTCTACATGATTTTATCTATAAGTAAGCTATGCATCAACTGACTTTATTCTCAACTGTGCAGTCAAACAGTAACATATTTAGGAATTACAAACCAATATTTGTCTGCATCTATTATTAAAATAGGCTTTCCCAAAGAAAGGAACAAAATCTTACTGGGATGGCTGAGTGAAATGAATTGATTGAAATGCTAGATTTTATCTAGAAAGAAATTCCGGCACTTTGAATTTTACAAATTGATTTCTAAGTGCAACAATGAAACAAACCAAATATGGAATGTATAGAAATGTGTATGATTTTTTTAAAAAAAGACTCATCCAGAACACAATCACAAAAATTCTACACTGCAATTTCTACTATTCCCCATTTTGGTTAATTATATGGTATTTAAATTTTGCAGCTAAATTACACTTTTTTTTTTAGGTTGTTATACTATATTCTCATCTACTCTGGAGTAAGAAGGATTGATCTCAACAGAATCTTATTTCTAAATAAACCTGTTTAGGATTACTAGGTTAGTTTTGTTCACCTTATAAGCCTGCATTTTTGTTAAGTGAGAGATGTTTTATTGTCAAAATTGTTCTCAGTGAAGAAAGGGAAATATTCTGGTTTTTATTTTCAGGCAATGCGGTATCCTTATGCAGTCCCCATTTATTGTGTTTATGCAGAAGAGCTGTCCATTGAATTGTGTGAGTCCCAAATATTTGAAAGCAACAAAGAAAGAATGAGAAAACCTGGTTGTTCCTGGGGGCATTACATAACTTAAAGCTTTGTGTGAAAGAGCTGAATTAAGAATTTCCTGGCTGGCAGCTCTCTCCCCCCTCCCTCCCTCCCTCCCTCCTTTCCTCTCTCTCCCCTCCCCCAGTTTTGAGCATTTATTTGATATGAATCAGTTTTACTCAAATATACCAAGAATATAGAATGATAAAAATAAAGAGTTTTCAGGGTGGGGGGGAAATCTAGATGATTATCTTTGGAATTCCTTCATGATGGATTAGAAAAGTGACAGGAAGAATATGAAAGAAAGCAAAGGAGAAAGGAATTTTTTCCCCAGTTGTCTTCACCTGCAAATCCCCCTCACCCAGCCCAGTTATTTTATTTTGGTGTTCAAAATATGAGTTCAGTTTTGCTTAGAATAAAGGAGGGAGTCCCTGTGTTTGCCAAGCAGGATGCAGTATTAGTTGCAGGCTGACTATTCAAAAGAATGTGGAATTCGATGGAAGCCAAATATTGACACACCTCTTCAGTTTCTCTCCTGAACTTCTCACTGGGTTTTGCAAATAGGAGCCACACAAATGAAGAGGGGGGAAAAAGATCTAAAATAATCTATAAAGAATTGGTTGAAATGGAGAAAGGGGACCGCTTCCAATCTTATATTTCCACCATAATCCAGTTTCTGTATTCGGGAATAGGTCTGAAGGACCCATCTGTTGTAGGGTATTGCTGCTGAAGAGAGGTGTGGATATGTGGGTGTGAGTGTGTATGAGACAGAGAAATTGCACCCCCGTGGTGCAAGGCATACTTGTTCCCTCCCCAATACAACCAAGCTTGCATTGATTTTCTGCAGACAGCACTGTGTTATACAAACTGCCTTCTAGTTCTCTGGATCAGTTGCAGTGTTGCTCACCCCACTCCTTCTTTACATCAAATAAGCTTACCATCTTTATTAAAATATTAGAAAAGTAATAAATAAAAAGAGGCAAGGACAATCGGCAGGGGAAAAAAATCATTTTATATATTAAGCCAAAATAACCTCACTCTGCTTCTCAGTCAAACCAACCTGTTCAGCTTCCCACATTCATTCTATTCTGTGTAAAAGATACTACCATGTTCTGTCACATAAACCTCTAGCAAGTGATTTCGAGATGAATTGTTCCCAGTCATTTCAGTAGAGATCCTTCCCTTTTGTGCTGAAATGCTCATACAGTTGCTAGTTCATAGTTCTTAAAAATGAAAATGCCCCTTAAGACATGCAAACATGATGTAGTGGTATTCACACTTGTTTGTACATGTCAGGCAGAACTGTGTATGTCACACAAATACAAATATTAGGAATAGTAAAATCCTGGTATATGTATGTGCAAATTAATGTGAAAAATACATTTTCAAACAATGAAAAGAATACTGAAATTGCACACTCAAGTGAGTTAGTCTGACTGAAACTGGAGACTGATCTTTCTATAAACATGCTGCAGAATTGCTATGCTGGTTTTTCAGTAATTTATGAAAAACCTTTGTTGATTGCAGAGTAGGATAGTTTAACTCTAAATATTGTGGATGTCTTGTTGCTTATGTGGTTTACAGTACATGTATAGGGCTGCACCTATGCATTGCCTATAAAGAAACAATTACATAGATACCCAAACATACAAACAATATTGTAAAATTAAATTATCCCTCCGCTGAAATGTATATGAGAACAGGTTTTGCAGGTACATCAAGTTCTGTATTTTTAATGGAATGGAGCTGCTTTATGTGTGAGATTTGTATGGGTGTAAGTGTATAAATCATTGTGATATATCAGCTTAGACTGCATTCACAATGGATGTTCAGAGCATCAATAGGAATATTTTCACACATGACACAGAATGTACATTTGATCTTGTAAGTATAATGCAAATACAATCCCACATTTCTTAACATGCATAGTGGGTTTAAATCTGACTTTTTTTTTTTCTATTTTTACCTTCAAAGCATTCATATGTATTGCAAGGAGGCTCAGAGTTGTGTATGAAAATCCTTTGTCTCTAATGTCATGTTTTGATACTGCATTCAAAATACTCAGGGCTACTCAGTGAATTATTGGCATGTTTTTCAAAATTTTCTAGGGTAGTCTAATTCAATTGATATTAACAAAACTACAACAACTGGATTTTGATCTCCTTGCATGACATCTCAGATCAGTCTTCTCCGCAGCAATGACGTTTTTTTCTACAAATAGATACCATTTACGGTATGGAGGAAAAGTGATTTGTAACATTTTATGAAACCACATTCCCTTGTATGCATGTGTAAATACTAGTACATTTTTTCATAGAATGTGAAAAAAATATTTTCCAATCAGTTGTATGTTCGAGCCACTAGGCACTCACAATTACAACAGAAATATAAAGTTTCAAAACTTTTAATATCATGCATGTAAACACTTCCTTATAGAGATACAGGGAATTTTTAAAAAGTTAAACTTTAAAGCTTGTTTTCAAAAGTGGACATTAGTGTGATTCCCATGCAATGTTGTACTAAATTATGGTTTTTAGTTTTGAATTTAAAGGTTATATATGACTTATAACATTATCTGCAAGCCAAGAACCCAGGGATTGATCTGCAAATCCTGATTGAGGGTTAGGTGTGATTTCAGCTATACCATTATGGTTATTTTTATTTCAGGCATATAGATCTTAAAAAAAAACACTAGAGAGGCATTAAAAGTTAGATTTTAGTTAGCCAGGAGAAGCTACAATCACATATTCAATACACTTATAATGGAGTAAAAGATGAGGCTTGTCTTGATCTGAGGTTGATTCCTAGTGACATTGGATATACAGAAGTGATTTAATGTTTCCTTCTAGAGAGTTTTAAAAAAAATCCAGTGTATCTTATAGATCAGGTTCCAAAAGGTTTGGTTTGAAATGCTTATTTCTTTTAGATCAGTCTGAAATCTTAGAGGAGTCAATTATCAATCTTGTTCAACTAAATAAGTTGAAAGTAAGGATATATTTTGTGTTGCATAGTGCAACCTGATGGATGTAAATATGAATAATTGGAGGCCTTTCTTGCCGAAAATTCTGCAGTTGCATTGTTGAATAGGACTTTTTAATCCCAGGAAATAAATATATTTTAAAGAGGTCATCTGGAGTTCAAATGAATATTTTCAAATCCTGGAGTGTCTGTGATATGCACTGATTTGCTGCTTTCAGTGAAACATATTTCTAAAAACATGATTGAATGCCATCTTAAATTCGAATACACTGTTTGGTTTCTTCCAAACTGCTGGCAATATGGCCTCAGATAACTACTGGAAAATAGGCCTCTTATTTTTAAGGAAAGATGTGTTAAGCAAGATTAACAAATGAAATTATTGTGTGGTCAATACCTACATTGTTGAGATATTGTGGAAAATGATATGCATCCAACAAACCTTAGAACAAAGCCGTAATCATGAGAAATTTCTTTCTATTCTTATATATTCTTTCTACCATAAAAAA